GGAATCTCAGTGTTTTCATCTGCATCTCTCGAATGACCAGTGATGTGGAGCATTTTTCATATATTTTCTTGATGCTTTTACTTCTTTGTTTGAGAAATGTCTGTTCATTTCAGATGCCCATTTTGGAATTGGGTCTTTATATTGGGGGGGCTGATTGTTTTGAGTTCTTTATATATTCAAATAATAGTCCTTTGTCTGAGGAGCAGCTGGTAAAAATTTTTTCCCACATTGTAGGTTGTCTCTTAGTTCTGTTGATGGTTTCTTTTGCAGTGCAGAAGCTTTTTACTAAGATGAGATCCCAGTTGTTGATTCTTTCTGCTAGTTCCCATGCTACTGAGGACTTATTCATAAAGTCTTTTCCTATGCCAATGTCTTCAAGAGTTCTGCCTAATTTATTTTCCAGCAAGTTTAGTGTTTCTGTTTTAATATTTAGATCTTTAATCCTCAGTGTGATAAACTTTCATTCCAGTCCAGTCTCATAGATCAGGTTAGCCTAATCTAGCACTTTATCTTCATATATATTCTTGCTTAGTAGAACAGTTTTCATTTCAAACATCACTGAGTACTTTTTATCTGGAATTTTGGCATTCTATACTGTATCCTTATGAAATTATTATAAGCAAAGAGGTATTATACTTTTCACTGAGTCATATGTATCATGAAGAGTAACTTCCTTTATCAAATATAGTTTACAAACATCCTAAAAACAATTCTAGATCTGTCCAGATGACAATTACCACACTTTATTCTATTTTTCTAGGAGTTCTACAACTTACATAGGCTTACAATTCTTTCTAAATAATTTACTAGTACACATGTATAGTAGATAGTGTTTACATTCCTTGTGGGAAGTTGGTACACGTATATAACACATCTTAATTCATTGTTTCATCCCCTTTGCCTTCTCGCCCTCTACCCTCTACCCATCCCTTGATCCCATAGGCTTAAAACTCTTAGAGTCTTAGATGAGAATCATTGGTGGGCTTGTTAAAACACAGATTGTTAGTAACTTTGTATTTATCAATGGATGAATGGATAAATAAAATGTGGTATACCCGTATAAAGGATTGTTTTATATATATATGGATGGATGGATACACATTACATTAATTAACTCAATTTCAACACATACACATTTAAAGAATATTAAAATGTTTTATGAGGTTCTAGTATAAGTAATCAAATATTTTACTTTGGAAATTTTTTCATTTACAAAAATTTACCAAAGGCCTAATTCTCTGGCTATTGAATATTCTAAGAGAAAAATGTTATTACATAAAATATGCATGTTTCAAACATCACTATGGGAGTATAAAGTGGTATAACCCATATGCAAGGAAATTTGGCAATACCTAAAAAAACTATGTATGCATCTATCTTTGGCCAAGCAATATTATTTTCAAGACTATCCCAGAGATACAGTAGCAAAATTATGAAAGCATATATGCCCAGACCTATCAACTGTATGATATTTATAATAGGGAATGTTTTTTAACAATCTGAATAACCATTGATAGAGGAATGATTGAATACTATGCATCTGTAGAAAGAAATGTGTAAGATCTTGGAATGCTATGTTACACAGAGATCTCTGGATTGGTCTCTGCTTTGTTAAAAAAAAGCAAAATGCAAAGTAAAAAATAGTATAGAGGACATGTTACCTTTTATATGACAATAATGTATGCATATGTATGATTATTTAAAAAGTAATAGTGGAAGAATAAACCAAAAACTAGTGTAACCAGAGAAAAAGCAAAATAAATATACAATGAGATCTCTACCAAAATGGATAAAATCAACACTTGTTGGCAGGAAGCATTGGCAAATATCAGAACTCTTATCCACTGCTGGGAGAAGTATAATTGGAGCATGTACTTCTGGAAAGCCTTTGGCTATATCCATGAAAAGCCTGAACATATTCATACTATATGACCAAGCAATTCTATTCTTGGCAGTATACCCACCAGAAATGCATACATGTGTTAAAAGACATACAAGAATATTTTAAGAAGCACTTTTGATTAAAACCCAAAACTAGAAATGCATATCTCCACCAACAGCAAAATGGATAAATTATAGTGTACTGTATATGAAATACAATAGAATACATTAGCAAAGATGAAAAAGAGTGAACGCTCCTATCACATGCAGCTTGAATGGATCTCATAAATATTGTTGAAGCAGAGCATGTACTATATTATTTTACTTCTAAGTCAACATCTGGCAAAACAAATGCAGAGTGTTTGAAATTGGGAGGGCAATTATGTCTGAGAAGAATCAGGGAGTAGTAACCAGAAAGAACACAAGGGTACCTTTGAGGGCTCTGGTAAGAATCTGATTCTGTGCCTAGATGATGGATACATGGGTGTGTTCAGTTTATGAGAATTCATCAAGCTGCACACTTACGCTCAATACTTGACTGCAAGTATATTATACTTTTTTAAATGTTTAAAACACAAAAATCATTACATCTGAATAGATACAGAGAGTCAAGTGGAAGGAATGGGTTGAAATGCAGGATTTTTTTTTGAGTCTACGTTTTTTACGTTTGGACTTTGGAATAAATGTACGTGTTTTACATATTCAAAAAGTAAATTCAACAAAAGAAAAAAATATATGTGTGTATTAAATGGAGATAATTGAAATCATTTTGAATTCCAAAATGTACATCTGTACTCATGTATACAAACCCACATTTTAAAGTTTAACATAAATCTGAAAATGGACCAGGTCAGTTTTTCTGAAATGCTGCAATGATAATTCTGGATTTACTCTAACGGCTTGGAAAAAATCATAAATGCTAAAAGCTCAAGCCCTAGGGAAACAAAGAAGGAAGGTAGAAAAAATGAACAGCTGGGGAAGCACTTGTTATCCAAAGTAAACAGATGTACTGCAGTTAGGCACGTACTAACCTAATGGCCTTTTGGAATTGACGAAAATGTGTCTGAGTGGTTGTAACATCAAGGCAGGCAGCTCTGCAAGCCAAGTAGTAAAGTAAATGCTCAGATGGAGTCCCCACCAATTTGGCCTTGGGCTGAATCAGTCAGCCAGTATGTTTCATACTGACCACTGCGGCACTGTGCAAAATATGAGGAAAAAAGACAGTCAAGTGGTTCACAGATGCTTTTTTTTTTTTTTGGCGAACTTTAGCTCCTTCATCCAACTACTTGATGTTGAAGAGTTTCCAAAATGGCCCTAACCAAATAGAAGGTAGAAAATAAAGAGAACAAGCCTAGAAATATTCATCTTTGGGAGAAGTAAGAAGTGTGATGTTACAAATATATACAAGGACTAATCTGAATCTATCCTGTGGAGATATCTGAGGACCCTCTGTAGGACTGTCAATGGGTCCTACATCACAAATGGAGAAGTGTGATTACTCTTTTAGGTTGGGGGTTCAAATCTAGCCCTGCAACTTATTAACACTTCAGCCATGTTCCTTAATGTCCTTGAGGCTCAATTTTCTCGTCTATAAAATGTAAGAATACTGTTGGGTTCTTGGAAGACGTTAACAAGGCACATGAAGCACTTATATACAATTTCATGTGTTCTATTTAATATTTATAAAACCCTTATGATGTTACAAATGATGAACTGATGCTTAATATTATACAGCAAAAAAATTGGAAAAACAAGGATTTGAACCCAGAGCTCTCAGACTCAAAAAATTATTTTCCTTATCTACAAAAATGTAGTCATGAAAAAAGGTTTGCATTTCTGTTAGTAGGTGATTTCCAGAGATATTTATCAGTCATTCATAAATTAGTACAGTTGCATACACACGATAAGAATGGCAGGCCTATTTGGAAGATAGAGGTGGGTTAGAATGGTCAGAGTGTGGGTAAACTGGAGTTGGTTGCCTGGAGAACAATGCCTGGCATATAAGTGCCTGTTGAATGAATGAAGGCATTTAATATAGAAAAAACGGGGCATCCTCAATCACTATAAGGCCCTGGATGAAGCTAAGGTCAGAATTTAGTGGGCAGTGGCAAACAATAGGACTTAGGTCAAAGGAACATATATTCTAAATAAAACCAGCCTTTCACCAAAAAAAGTAAAAATTGTCCTGAAAAATATAGGAAAGACAAATGGTTGATGAAGGTACATGCAACAGGTGGAATCAGACTGGGGTTCAGAGGTGGCCAGAGGTCATAGGTGGAAAATACATGTGCAAGGCATGGCTCAAGGCAGTTGAGACTGGTCAGTAGAATAAAGAGAGAAGGAGAAAGTATAGACTAAGCATGCTTTTATCTGTGGATTCCACAACAGTGGTATTTGCCTATTACTCTGATTTTAGACAACTAATGTAGTATCATTTTATGAAACTTTCAATTGTGTTCTGGATCCCACTCTAAAATGTTTTTCTCCCTATGGATATGGACAAAATCTTCTGCTTTGGGACTGTGGGACTTACTAGAAAGATATGTCACTGTCAATGATAGGGAAATGAGTTACAGTTGTTGATTAGGAAAGCTTTATTGTCCAGATATGACTGAAAGGACAGTGTTATCCTGATAAAAATCACCATGTTCCAAGGTCTACTTTGCAACTTCATCTGTAAAGAAATGTGATTGTGCAGCCCATGAAGAGATGATTTTTATTTTAGGATAACTTTTTCATTAATTTTCAAAGAGAAATATGGCTGCACATAGCTATTTGGATGATTATCTATGGGGAAAAAATCTGCTTAGGAAATCACATGAGACTGTGGCTTAATATACACGGAATCATGTAGGAACCAGCCTACCAGCTGGTCTTGAACCTGACCAAGGGGTGATAAAGATGAAAAATAAAGAGACACAGAAACAAGTTAAAATCTGGGGAGCCAGTGGGCTCATATTTCCAATGTAAAGCCCCAAACAACTGGTGCACCTTGGCTTTATTCACTGAGACTCAGTCACAAGCAATTAGAATTCCACAGGATCCATCTGTCTCCCACTTTCCATGGTCCTTCTCCAGGTAAACAACTTAACCTCGGGTGTTTTTATTTTTCCCTGCAGTGTGTTAGCACATTTGCACGCCCTCTTCTCAGTGCTCACCAAGGAGGCCAATTAAGCCTTTTTCTTCCCAAATGATCTGCACAGAATCGGAGAAACAATAATTATTTGATAATGTAAGTGGTAGTGACATGTGGGTATGAAAATTATGGTGATAATAATTAATAAAATCTAACATTGATTGGGAGCTTACTGTGTATCAGGCAGTACACTCAGTACTTAACCTAATTTAATCCTTACCTATAAGGTGTTTCACTGCGGAGATACACCTGCCAAACAGATGGCATATTGATGTCAATTAGTCGACCTACTCAATCTTCTGAATTTGCACTAACAAATTCTCACTTGACTCTATTTTCCCAGGCTGTGCTTATCTTGCTCACTGACACTCTGTTCCCATCCCTACCTAAAGATTTCTCCTAAAGGATGCTCAACAAGTGACAGCGAGCACACAAACCACAGGATGACATGGAATATTTCCAAGAATCGGTCTGAATAGATGGTAAGCAATTTCAGATGTTTTTATATGGTATATACTGGATATATTATGAAGCACAGTGCAAGATCTGAACAAATGTTAAGGGTAAACCTTGAAGAAATTTCATACTTGAAGATCTTGAGAGCTCTCTTTGAAGGTACTTAACAGAAAAGTTTAAAAATCACACTTAGTATTGCCACCCAAAGGGTAACACAGTACAGCTGAATAGGCCCAAGTTTTCTGAATCAAAATCACCTAATTTCAATCTCCCTATACTTCCTGGTTAATTGTGAATTGGGTGTTTCAATTTCATGATCTCCATATTGACAATTTGCTCTTATATTCTGTCTATAGTTAGTTAACTTTATCCATTAACATTTTTTATAATTAGAAGTATTTCTCTTCCTCAAAAAAAAGGAATACAGAGAGTTTTGCAAGATACATCAGTCTAGGTTGGAGGTTGTTCTCTTTTAGTATTTGAAATATCTCATTCCACATTCTCCTTGCCCCAAGGGTTTGTGTTGAAAAGTCTGCTGTAATTCTGATGGGCTTTCCTTTGCATGTGCTTTGTTTCTTTCCTCTTACTGCTTGTAGTATTTTGTTCTTCTGTTAGGTTTCTGGGATCTTGATTATTATATGTCTAGGTGTAGATTTTTTTTATTGTAGCTAGTTGGGGTCCTATATGCCTCAGTCATCTGAATGTCAAATTCTTCCCCTCTGTTTGGGAAGTTTTCTGTCATTAATTCTGAGAACAGCTTTTTTAAGTCATTTGTATTTTCTCCTGCTACTTCATGTATTCCTATCAGTCTTATGTTATTCTTCTTTGCATCATCTAGGAGTTGTTGGATCGATTTCTCATGATCCCTTACTGTTTTTAAGAGACCTCTCTTTTCATGGTCACTGACTGCAATCTTATCTTCTATATCTGAGAGCTAATAAAAAAAATGGTGCCAGGTACCACAACAGCAACAGAACTTTGCTGTTTTCTGGATATTATTCTTTTCTTTGTTTTGTTTCTTTGTTTGTTTTCTGTGTTTTATTTTGTTTTTTTTAATGGAATGTGCTGAATGTCTATAATTTTGTTCAGATGACTGCAGAACCTGGAAAAGCTGTTGCTGCTATCAATGCATAACATACTGCTATTATTAGTCTCTTTATATAAATATATATATATATTGAGTTGGCATTGTACAGAAATGGACAGCCATATTGGTCTAGAAATGTTAAATTTTTGTATTTTTTTTTTCCTTGTGTACAGGGGTAACACATTGTAGTAAATATGTAAGGTCATATCTACATGGGTTTGATTACAGAAACTAATAAAGTATTCTCTAAATAATGAAAAAAGAATAAGATAAGACTACAAGAGCAAGAAGCAATTTAAATATGTTAAGGGACCATTTTTATCTTCAGAATTAAGGATTATTTTAATGTTACATCATTGCCTTTTCTCTTTTACTTTCCTTTTTAGTTTTATTTTAGGATTCCCTATTTTTAATGTTCATATAGAGATTCCTTTAACTGAAATACCTAATAGTTTCTCTGGTGTGAAAAACTATAATAGTACACAGGATCTTAATGAGATAATTAATAATGTGAAATAGGAAGTAAAGGGCTAAAGGTGTAGGGAAAGTGGGAAGGGTGGGGGAAAGGTAAAAAGGGAGAGGAAAAAAATATGAGAAACTGAAAAAAATGGAAATAAAGTGTTTGTAAATGGGGAGGGGAGGAGGGGGTGAAGGAAGGGCAGGGACAAGGGGAAAAAATGAAAATCAAGACCTATTATGTAAAGGTACAGGATCCCAATGATGAATGTAACTGTATTGTATACCTAGATTGTACCAATGAACTCAATAAAAAGAAAAAAAAGGAATACAAATTTATATCTAAAAGTTTCAAAATCTAGAGAAACATAATGGAAAAAAATTAAGAAACGTACACATCAATCGCAAATATGATTACTAACCTACTATGTGCCTGGCAACTTCTCAACTCTGGGTCTATAGTGTGAACTAGATGGTCAAAATCCTTGCCCTTAAAGACATTCTACTTCATTCTTTCAGATATTGATATCTGAAATTCACATATACGCATTTTGTAAGATTGAGATACTTCTACATATACAAGTGTATTTAATTAAATTACTTTAAATTTAATAGCATGTTGTAACATCATTTTGTTTTATTGAATTTTCACCTACAACATAGTTTTTAAAAGCTACACAGTAATTTATTTAGAAGTATAATATGTATTATCTAATAAACGTGAAAGTTGCTTGCTTTTAATTTTTCATTCTTGCAAATATACTATTTTTATAGAAAAATGTTTGTGCCTATCTCTCATTATTTCCTTCAGATAAAGTCTTTAGGAATCAACATAACCCTCTTCTGAGATCAAAGAACCTTCATATATTTTACATTTCCTTAGCATTGCTGAACTCTACCCCAGCTTATATTTATTTCAGCTTATATTTTCTAACGTAGTTTATGATAATGTCTATTTTCTCATACCCCCAACAACGTTAGGTATTTATTATTAAAATTTTAAACCAATTTGTAGGTGAAAATTGGTTTCTTGTTTTAATATGCTGTATCATCTCTTGTGATGTCAAACTTTTTTTTACCTCTATGATTCATACTTTGTTAATTGCCTTTTTCTTGGGTGTTCTTTGGCCATTTTTCTATTGGAGTGGTTATCTTTTTCTCTACCCTTTATAAGCACTTTAAAAAATAAAGTATACAATGACATTTTGTCTGCCGCAGATGATACAGCTATTTTCCCCAGTTTATACCTTGCCTTTTTAAATATTTACTGAGCTTTTTGACCCTGAAGAGCTTTTAAACTTTATGTGGTCACATTTACAAATAATTTCATTTTACACCTTCTGTTCTTGTTCATAGCTCAGAAGGCCCTCTGTGACCTCAGGATCTATTATTACCTTTTGATTCCTTCTGACTGAAGAATAACACCACTAGGTTGTCAGACCCTTTCTGGGTGTCTCCTAGGTTTTAGAGAAGCAATGCAATCTTTCAGTTTTGAGAAGATAAAATTGATGATGGTGATGGTGGTAGTATGCAAGGATAGGGAAATACAAGATAGAAACAGAGACTGGCTTCAGCAGAAGCCAGTGCTTTAAGGAATGACTATTATTAACATTTTCCCCAGAGATAAGACTATAAACAGTGGTCTTAGATAGGACCCAAGAATCTTGTATTTCTAACAAGTTCCAAGATGAGTTTAAGGTTATTTTAGTCTATATTGTCAGTCTATATTTCAAAATAGGTGAAAACACTGGAATTCTTTAGCATAACAATCAATTTGAATTTATTTACTTCATTCTTTTCAAATTTAATGACTTTCTATAATCTGATACATTAAAATAAGCTTCAATATTCTGCACAAATGTAATCTGGTATACATGCCAACTCTCAACAGTGACCCCACAAGGATTAGTTAAGTAAGAAAAATCTTGTCCCAACACTTAAATTTCTGGAAGGTCTCCAGTACTCCCTGAACACCTGAGCTACTCCTGAAGTCAGTGGCTAGCTAGGTTTGGCTCTGATTCAGTGTTGGGAGAGGGTCCGATCTTTCCTGCAGTAATAAGCATATCATAGATAACCTATGCAGTGAAGGTTGATTCAAACACTACACTGAGCTGGAAAGCAGTTCTTTTCTTTTTGAGTGGAAAACCAAATCCCCATTTCTAAGACTTATGTTTGCATAAAGCCAGTTAGTACACCCTGCCTCCCAGTCCCATCATCCAGTCTAAGGGACTGCCCTGCTGATCTTAATCTTTAATCCACACTGTTTTCTGAGTTCTCTTCAAAGACCACTTTGATTTTTTTTTTCTTTCCCCTATTATGTTTTGAAATCCCTTATACTCCAAATATTTCCTCTACAGCCTTCCATGTTTTTCCCAATGAGGAAGTATCCTAGACCCTTTCTTTTGTTCTCCACATTCAAACATCAAATCTGGGAGATCCTGTTGGCTCTGTATCTCTCAAATTTGTCCATACTTGTGATTATCGCTGCTGTTGCCTTCAATGTGGCCCTCATGCTCTGTCCCCCAGGAAGACAGCATGGTACAGATGATTTGGTATCAGAAGGACCTGTGCTTGCGTTCCACATGTACTGCTTGCCTGTCTGGCTATAGGAATGATAAACTGACATATCTGAAACTGAGTTCCCTTTAACCTGAAACTATCTGTTTCACAGGACTGCCGTGAGGACCAATGCAAGCATGGAAGTGAACATGCTCCACACACTGCCTCTGCAAGCAAGTCTACAAATAACCACTGCCTCTGCCCATTTTTTATCACTTTTGATCAGTATTTCCTAACAGGTCCTGTGTTCACCAAATGAGCATCCACACAACCATCAGAGCAGCTTTTCCAAATCAGAAATCTGATATTTTAGAGAGTGATTAGATCTTACCGTGGCTCACAGAACAAAGCCACTTCACAAGGTTCTCTTCCATTCACTGTTCTCTATCTGCTTCATCTTCTATGCTTCTACTTCTAGGTGCTTCCTGAGCTTTACACGCCCATCTGTGCCATGCCTTTCTGATCACCTAGAGCCTCACCTAACAACTTCTTGTTATTCAGTACTACCATAAGCATCTCCAACACCAACAAATTGTCTCTGAATGCTAGTTGAACTTAGCCCCTCTTCTATTGCTACAGTACTTTACTTTATATATAAGTACATTTTTGAACTTTTATATTTTATGTATAGAACATAATTATGCTTCTTATAACATTATAGTATAATCATTATTTCTATGTCCATTTCCCTACCAGACACTGGGTTCACTGACCACTAATCTGAGGGATTATATAACCTTATGCATCCAGAACCCAAAAAGTACAACCATTTTAACTCTAGCTCATCAGGATGAATCACATATTAAACTGAACATAGTATAATAAAATCATACCCCACAAGTAATATATAACTTTTGCATAATTTTTATAATTTTGTTTTTAAATTTATTTAGCTCCTAATAACCGGTTCAGTTCTCAAATACCTATGATTTCCACTGGATTATTAAGCAGATTCAAAATTCTCCCCAAGTTTAAAACCTAGAATAATTTACAAATATAATGAAATCCTAAACTAATAATAATACTTTAAAGATACTTAATAAAACAGATATTTATAAAACAAAAGTACTAAATAAATAATAAATGTTTTGATGAATGAATAAATCCTATGTGGCTCTTTTATATTTTTAATTTTTGCTATTATTTATTTAGTGTCAACTAGGTACCTGGTCATGTGCTAACACACACGCAGGCACACACACACACACACACACACACACACACATGCTTACCCCTATATACATACATATATATATTTTTTTGGTACTGGGAATCAAACTCAGGACCTTACATTTGCAAAGCAGGTGCCAGTGAGCTAAATCCCTGGCCCTATTTTTATAGATGGAAAAACCTGATATTCAGTGATATTAAGGAATGTGTTCACCCAGTAAATTAAGACACAGCAAAGATTCACCAGGCTGTCTGTCTCTAAGACCATGTGTTAACCACTGTACTACATAATATTTAGTTATTCCATTGAACAATCTGACTTGCAGCTTCCACAGTCATAAATGAAATCATTATGTATTTCTAAAAATACATAAACTGTCAAACAGTTCATGGAGCATAGCTGGCATTTAAAAATAAATTGGCTAGTTTATTAGAGATTGAAAATAGCTCCCCTGTTCTGAGGTAGCAACAGGTAGACTCTGTATTTCCATTTTGTTCTCCTAGAGCAATGGCACGTTCCCTGTTGGATATTTGCTTTGAATCTAATGCACTTACTTGTTTCATCGTCTTCCCACCTGGACTGTGAGCTCCATAAGAAAAGACTGTGTCTGTCCTAATCAACTTTGACTGTCTGACATACATATTTGGTGCTTGCAATAAATATTTGTTGAACTGGTTAGCTTAGTTAGCCCTTATCTGATGTAAATGACTATACCAGGAAAGGAATGAAAGTCAAAGTTTTGGTTTTGTTTTTTCAATAAGTACACTGTGTTCAGAATTAAAGAATCATGGGACAGAATTTCTGTTATCAAATCTGTTACTATATAACATTTCAAAACACCTAATCACTTTTTTCTTATCTGTAGAATATCATAAAGGATATAATATTGACGTAATTCCACTAATGTACTCTTAGTATACTAAGATAGGATTGAGATATAAGAAAAGAATAAAAAACATCAAGATCATAATGATATGCAAACAATATTGATCTAGCCAGTCATGTTGGACTGAGGTGCTCATGATTATAAAATATTTCATATATTGTATGAATATTTCATATATATTATTAATAATTATATTATAAATTATATATTATAACATATATCATTGTTATAATATCTCTCTGTGTAAGGAACCCTGGTAGGTATCACAAAAAAGACTAATTAAAACAAGCTTAATCTCTATCTTTGAAAATCAAGCTCACTCAAATAATCTCTGCACGCAGGAAAGTTCTCTGATACTTTAAATTTTAAATTTAAATAATTTGAACAGCTAGAACCTATCATATTGACATTTTCACTGACTTTCATAAATTATCAAGTATAAAAGGTAAATCCTGAAGAACATTGATTTCATTAAGCTTCCATTTGTCTTTTTAAAATTTAAACTAGATTTAGTTATTTATACTTATTCTTGCTTTTAGATATTCCCTGTATATTACTCTTAACAGTTGGCTATGGTTTTCATTTTAATTCTAAATTTATGATTTGATTTTCCACTTTACTTTCTGTATCATTTTGACAACAAATTTCACATAACAACAAATATTACTGTTTTGATTATAGAATCTGTTTTGTATAAAGTATTGTCTTTTAGTTCCTTGTGGTTTTATCTTTTATTTATTTATTTATTTGTTTGTTTGCTTATTTATTTATGGTACTGGGAATTGAACTTGGTGGTTTTGTCTTTTAAATATAAATCTTCAATTCATCTAGAACTTCTTTTGGATTATAATTTTTAAAGGTCTTGCCAATTATCTTCATATTGAGGGTTCCATTGTTTTATCAATTGAAGTAATGTTTTGCATTCTTAAATCTTCATATATACACAAATTTATTTCTGAACTATTTTGTCCCATTTATCTATTTCTTGCTCATAATATTATGTAATTAACTTACTTTGGTCTCATATTTCAATTTGTAGTAGGGCACATTTTTATTACAACTATGAATGGAATGTTTTCTCTGTCAGCCAAATTTTCTATCTGGTTATTACACATATGGAAAACAAATTGTGGTTATATAAATTTTGATCAGATCTGGCTATTTTCCAAATCTTTCTTTTTATTTCTATTAATTCTTTTTGGGGGGTTACTAGGGCTCGAACTTGGGTCCTTGAGTTTGCGAGGCAGGCGGCAGAACCACTGAGCTAAATCCCCAGCCCTATTTCTGTTAATTCTTTCAGTTTATTATCTTGGATAATCTAAAGAGACAATTTTATTACCAGGAAATAATGATAACTTTGACTCTCCTCTCTAATATTGGTTCCACATCATTTATATATCTCTTGTCTTTCCTGTCATATTGCACAAATTGGAACTTCCAGATCAATGTTTAACAACAGTAGATAAAATGGAAATATTGTCTTCTTTGGAAGAAAAAGAATCTAATTAAGAGCATTCTTAGCTTATAATTATGTACTAAAGGTAATTAGCAAATGACCATTTTCTGTCTTACAACTGTTATAAGAAAGCAACTATATCCAGCATTTTGTAGGTTTAATTTATAACCCTTAAAACATCCTACAAGGTAAGCCTATTATATCCATTTTGGACATATGGAAATGAAGGTTCTTGTCTATTGAAAAACATATCTATCAGTACTCAGTTTATCAGTAGTGAACCCAGAAATAGAATCTAAAGTTCACTGATTCTAAGCTCTTCTACCTTTTACTTGCATTATATAAATACCATACTGGCTAATTCTTGTAGATATGAATAAAAAATTCTGATCTGACAACTGGTATGGGGTTGCAATGATACACTTTAATACACTTTGAGCAAGGAGAATTATAAATTTACTTACAATCAGGTGAATTACAATCTTTATTTCTTAAGATGAAATGAATCAAATGTTAAGCACCTGTAGTGTGTTAGTGCCTTCAAAAGTATTTTCCTAACTATAACCTGCAATTCCATAATGATTATATTGTGATTTGACACTACATAAATGCATAACCTCTTCTCCAAATATCTGTGCATCAGAACTCTGTTGGTGACAACTGATAGAAACTCAACTCAAATTAGCTTAAGTTAAAACGAGTTTCATCACAGGCCATGAAATTGAAGCAAAAATCAAAACTCTACCAACTAGGGCTGGGGATTTAGTTCAGTGGTGCTGCTACCTGCCTTTCAAATCCAAGTTCAATTCCCAGTACCAAAAACAAGCAAACAAACAAAAAACTGTAACAACTAAAAAAAGTCTAGGACACAATGGATTCACCACTGAATTTTACAAAAAGTTCTCAAACTCTTCCCTGAAAGTAAAAGAGAAGAAACACTTCAAAGCTCATCCTTGATACCAAAACCAAAAAGGCATGCGCAAGAAAAGAAAACTACAGGCAAACTTCCTTAATAAACAAACATACAACAATCCTCAAGATACTTGCAAATAGGATGCAACAAATTGTTAAAAAGATGATATATCATGGCAAAGTTGGTTTCATCTCAGGGATACAAGGATGGTGTAACATATATAAATCAATAAATTTAATCTACTACATGATTAAAAGTAAGGATAAAAATCACATTATCATCTCAATATGTTCAGAAAAAGACTGACAAAATCCAACATCCATTAATGATTTTTAAAAGCTGAAAATTGATATAGAAGGACCTTACCTCAAACTGATAAAAGCTTCTTATGAAAAACCCAGAGCACACATCACAGTAAAAGGGGAAAAACTGAAAATCCTTCCCCCTAAAATCCAGAATAAGACAAGGATGTGTACTCTTACCAATCCTGTTTAAAATAGCACTCAAAACTTAAACAGAGGAATCAGACAGGTGGGGAAAAAGGCGTTACAAATAGGAAGCTATCTTTATTTGCAGATGATATGATCCTTTACACAGAAGTCTCATAAAATACCTAAAGAAGATTTTAGAGCTAATAAATAAATTTAGCCAAGTAACAAGATTCAAAAATTTTGTACACCTTGCCAGGTATGGTGGCACACGCCTGTAATCCCAGCACTTGGGAGGCTGAAGCAGGATGATTGTTGTGAGTTTGAGACCAGCCTGGGCTACATGGTGAGTTCCAGGTCAAACTCAACTACATAGAGAGACCCTGTCTCAAAAAACCAAAATACCAAAACCAAAACAAAAATTTTTTTACACCAATAATGAACCTACTGAGAAAGAAATCAGGAAAAGAATCCATTCACAGTAGCTTCAAAAATCAAAGACTTAGGAATCAACCTAACCAAGGAGGTGAAAGAGCTCTATAACAAAAACTATAGTACCCTGAAAAAAGAGATGGAAGATAGCATTAGAAAATGGAAAGACATCCCCTGCTCCAGGACAGGCAGAATCAATATTATCAAAATGGCCATATTACCAAAAGCAATATAGATTTAATACAATTCCTATCAAAATGCCAACAGCATTCCTCACAGCATTAGAAAAAGCAATCTTAAGATTTACATGGAACCTGAAGAGAACCAGAACACTGTAGGCAAAGCAATCTTGAGCAAAAAGAGCAAAGTGAGAGGCATTACAATCCCAGAATTTAAGTTATACCTCAAAACAGCAGTAATAAAAACAGCATGGAAGTGGCACAGAAATAGACATGTAGACCAGTGGGACAGAACAGAATGCACAGAAACTATTCCATGCACCTTTAGCCATGTGATCTTTGACAAAGCTTTTAAAAACATACTCAGGAGAAAAGAGCTTCTTTAACAAATGATGCTGGGAAAATTGGCTATCCAAATGTGGAAAAATAAATCTAGACCCATATCTCTCACCCTGTACAAAGATCAAATCAAAATGGATCAAAGACCCATATATAAAAA